AATGCATAATATATAACCACCGCCTTGCGGTTACAAGGGAAATTGGAAAGCGGATAAAAGTTATACTGGAAATATTTTCTACTGTTCCGTTTAAAGCATTATTTTCATAGAAACGGAAAACAAAATATTTAATACCTCCAGGTTACCTAAATACATAGATTTTTTTAAGTAAATAACAGTTTTGTCATTAGATAAGTGTGGTGCCGGAGGCATAATTATAGTCCCTTTCCCTTTCCACCCTTTTCTTAAGAGGAAATGACGGGAAAGAAAAGTGGATTCGACATTGGAGGAGACGCATAGGAAGGGAAAATGTCCTCTTTATGTGCGTCTCCTACTCCGTCAATTAAGGGTAGGCAACGCATCTGCAATTGCAGATGTTTATGGGCAGCGGTCGCTTTCCTTTTCGGTGGATTTAGGTGGTCGGCTCGTTTGCCATCTTTTATTATAATAAAAAACCATATTTAATTGCACTGTCTTTGGTGTTTTATAGATATGGTATTTGCAATTACGTGTTAACGTTTCATGAATATGTTACAAGTTGGCGGCTGGACCGTTGAATAAATTTCACTTATTACTTTTATAACAGCCGTAATTCATGAAACTACAATGACCTGGCATATTAATGTACGATCCAATTTATAACTTACATTGGTGGACAAAAACTGAACTGTTCCCGTGTAAAAAGTAGTTAACTTCACTTTAATAGGTTTTCGTCGGTTATAAATTTTAATCTGTGGTATTCGAATACTGATATATGAGCGATTATTTTAAAATTTGACAGCGTGAGATTTTAAATGTAAAAGCATACTGTGAACATTTTAGTACGATGGTTACTTTGTACATTATTTCTTGTTATTTACTTTTTTCTTCACTTTTTAATCCCTCTTTGAGATTAATTTGTTTGTATGTGGGTTTTATGTCAATTTCTTTGTATTTTTTATTTTTCTTCTAATCATTTCCTTTCTCTATGTTTCGTAAACTATTTAACATAACTATATAAATCATAATTGTTCATCTTGTGCGGCGGGCCAAAATGTGCCACCAATGATATGTGCGCCAGTGCGTAACAGGTCTTTTTAGACCCACCAGCACTAGGATAGATTAAATTTCTTTAATAATTGTGAAAACATATTGTCTACATGTATACACATGAGATAATACAAACAGTAGCGAGAGGTACATAGTTGTCTTCGTCCGCACCAGCTTAAGTACCACGTCGGACCGATATCGGCCTGATACGCAGTGAACGTGTTAAGGTTGCTTAACTTAAGTAGATTCACATTCTTTATTTACAAATGTTGTTTTTTTAATGTTTTTGTTAGTGTATAAATTAATTGGAATAGTTTGAGAACCTCTGGTAAATAACTTCATCGACGTAGTCATAACAAGACGTTACAAAGCGGTCATATTGCAGTGTTCGATGGCAGATTGACTAAATAAGAACGAATAAATTTCGCGCGCCAAATAATATGGCGATATATTTGTGGACAATATTATTATGTGTGATTTGTGCACAGGCTTTGCATAGTTTTAAAGGTATGGATAATATTAATTACATTTATAGATAACTAGCTTTCGCCCGCGACTCCGTCCGCGCGGAATTAAAAAAAAAATGCAATTAGTCTATGTGTTCTTCCAGACTATCCCCAACATCTTTGCCATATTTCATCAAAATCCGTTCAGCTGTTTAGGCTCAAACTCTAACATGCATCCATCTATCCATTCATCTAAACTTTCGCCTTTATAATATTAGTATGCTAAGAATAAACAAGATAGTGTTAAGATTGAATGTTGGATACAATGGTAGAGGAAGATCTTAAGTATGGATTGTATGAAAGTAGAGATGTATGGAAGGACACATACTGTGTCGACCCTCTGTAAGAACAAGGGTAGTTTGACGATGAATTGTTTTTATAGATTTAACCTAGAAATACTAACGTATATTTGCTTCTTCAGAACTTTATATTTGATTATAATAACCAAGCGTGGTTAGAATTGCTTTATTTATTTATTTATTGGAAAGGTACACCAATTTCATGTTCAAAGTTCACAACCAAATTAATATACCGTATACAATGAAAAACAAAGAAGCAGAAGAACATACAGATGACAGGCGTACACAGCGCTCACAAAAAAAAAATTATGTTTTATTGTTTGTTTTATTTATGTTTTGCTTTGATTTGATTCAGAGTTATTAAACCTTATTTGAGTAACCTATTTCATTAGTTGCTATCCTTGTAGAAGACTTTATTACCCTAAGTAATTCTTATGCTAATTTTCCAATGATTGTATTGGAATGTAATTGTATCTAAAATAGTTAAACAATACAGTGGTGTCAGCTGTTACTCGAATAAACTAGTTTAATAGACTATATAGACAATTGTTGAGTAAAATAATTTGTCATTCTTGATGTTATTTGAAGGATGTCAGAGAGATTATCTATACTTTTCGAAACATCTTTATTTAGAGATTCTGTCTGGTTGTTTACTAAATTTTAGTTATTGCCTAGTGTGTTATAGAGCATTTTTATGTCTTTATTTTTGTACAATCCAAACATTAACGGACTCTCCAACCAAATTGTAAATTGTCTGGTAATTCAACGTGTAAAATGTGTGATGGAAATATTGGATTTTGTTCCCTTATCTGACAGTGACGTTATTTTGAAGCTATCTGAGCCTCTATCAGCCAGTGATGGGACAGGTCCTAATGTAATGTGTAATACAAATTGTTAAAATGTTAAAATCCATACTATGGTTGTTGTAATAAGGAAATGCACGCGTGTGGTTGGTAGGAATGGACATTAGAAAAATAGAAAGAAGTGATAACTCATATGACGGATAATAATGGAATGGGAATTCGACAGTACGATAAGAGTTAAGAAATTATTATTTCATGTACTGAATACATATTTAAGAATGCAATTCAAAGAAATGTGTAGTTGTATATTCACACTGTAAGCAGTTTATTCAATTTTTATATCGAGTATCAAATTACAAGAAATAACAATTGAAGCACGAATATTTCTGTTTTCGTTAAAATGTGATTCATTTGTTTATTTTCTTAAAAACTAACCTCACTGATTCATGATGGTACTGTAATGTATTCTCCTATATATATCGGTTTATATAAAACTAGCTGTTGCTCGCGATTTCGCCCACCTGAAATTATAAAATAATAAAACTATGGCCTATGTTACTCAATGATGAAGTAGCTTTTTAACTGTGTAAGAATTTTTTAAAACCACCTAGTAGTTTTTGAGTTATTTCAATACATACAAATACCATTAGTTCCGGTATGCTTTGAACTCTATTTCTTAGCTTTTACCCGCGACTCCGTCCACGTGGAATTAAGAAAAATCAAAAGCGAGTAGCCTATGTATTCTTCCAGCCTATGTTCTACATCTGTGCCAAATTTCATCCATATCCGTTCAGCAGTTAAGTCTACATACTTAAACGTCCATCCATCTAGTATCCATGTAGTTCCTCTGGTATTTCGGATGTCCATGGGCCTCGTTGACAACTTTTGTGTTCCCGCCGCTTTTGTGTTGCCCCCTTCTCATATATAAAAATCTAAACTTTATATTAGTATAGTGTATTTAGTTTTATCAGTGTTGTGACGTGTGTTAGCCCAAGATACATAGTAACATCATTGTATATAGTTAGGAGCGAGTTGCGCCCGCGCAGGTGTCAGTATTTACAAACACGATGCCTTCGTTTGATGAAACTAAACCGTCCTTTATAAACACAAACACAGATAATATTGTTTATTAATCTATTTAATTGTGTGCGTGATCACGTAATACATTGTTTGGGATATCACAATACAAAATGTACGTTAAAAAAGCAAACTTATCTAATGTTAATGAAACAAGTTAGTTCATCAACCACCAAAAAGCGTTTTCAAATCTGTCATCTTCCTTCTTATTCCACTCCCGTAGATCGCAACAGTTTTTTGTCCTCCACTTATCCATCATCTCAGTCATCATTCCCTTCTTGATCATATCACCTTTCACGCAATTCATTCCCTTTAACTAACGTTCCCCTTGTTACATGCGATTCATCTCTCGTTCAAATCTCTCTAGTTGGCAAACGAACAAACCATGTTCCAATATACGGAATACATCAAACTTCCTTCGAAAACGTCGTTATACAACCTGCATATATCTGTGTGTATGACTATGGCCTAGTCACCTTTAACTTAGAGTAGACTCCAAACCCCTCAGTGGGGATTTATAGTGAGCGGGTGATGGTCTATCTTCCCTCCTTTCAGTCTTCATTTTTAAGTAATCCATCTCTACCGGAACCTCTATCGATGTACCTCTCCAAATACTTAAAGTTCTTATCATTGACAAAATTCTGTTCAATGAAGCATGCGGTTAAAAGTAACAATAACAACTCCACGTTCCATTCGCTGTCGGATATCGTCGCATCCGATGGATGTCTCCTGTTTACGCAAACGTAAACGTGTTTCGAATCAAATTTTACGGCATTCAATTAGCGAAATAATAATAGCTGTTCAGAAATAGACCGAAATGTTTTTTTTACCATTTGAGTTACATTTGTTTATTGCCATCTTTATTCTTGTACTAATAAGTGTTCTTTTGTTTTATTTCAGTATTTATTCTTCAAGATTGTCGCCAAATTCTTTTATAATCCAATAAATACTGTCCTTTATTCGCTTTATGTATGCAATTTTTGGCAAGAAATTCCGTGAACTACATCAGTGAAGTAATTTATCTCTATGGTTCTTAGCTTTGGCAGAGTACCAAAATTAAAAAAGTTTAAAAAGACATAGACTATAATAGTGTTACAATTCATGTGACAAGATATAAAGGAAATTTCTTTATTAAGTAATGAAGAAGAACATTGTTTAACTTTAGAATATAAATATCTAAGCTAGTTTTTTTTTTAAATAGACTAAAAAGATGATGCAATTGTACGTTGTATAATTATTTTTCTTAATTCATAGACTAGTATTGAATAATACTAGTATGTATGGATTGTGTAAAAGAGGACATGCTTAAGAGAGTGAATTCAGATATGACGGCAGATAGAGATGTATGGAAGCCGTACATACTGTGCCAACCCTCCATAGAGATAAGGGAAAGTTGATGATGGATTGGTACTAAATCGTTAATTTTATAATACATATCAAAATCTTTACTTTGCAGAACTCTATTGTCAAGATCCCGACACAAAAATGTTACACGCAGTAAATACTACATGGGCAGCGAAATCATTTTGTGGAAATTATACGTGCAAATTGAGAAAGAAAAATAGAACAAGTACAGAATTAATAACACCGCTAACGAAAATAAACATCACCAATATAAACATTAATTTTGTTAAAGAAGATGATTTGTCACCTAGTGCGAGTGACAAAGTAAAGACGACTGTAGAACCATTAAAACCCAGTTTAACACATTTATTGAGTAGAGAAAGGGTAATACCCAAAAACAAAGGTGACGATGAAAAACGTAGTGACGATTCTTCAAAAGAAAACGATGGTGACCGTTATTTAACTGAAAGTGAAATAAAAACTATCACAGATATGTTACATACAGTTAAAAAGAGTGATCTAGAAGCAATTGTTGATATTTATAATTTAGCACAAGATATTTACAAGGACATAGAAAAGAATCAAGAAGAAACACTGTTACAAGATACTATGACTCCTGTCCACGCACAAGGTTTCAATGATAACCAACAAGGGATAACAAGTGACAAGCAAAGAGTTTCATATTGGTATGAACCTTTAAATTTTCATAACAGTAAAGTGAAACCTGAAGTCAGTGTAAACGAACCAACAACAACAATAACAACAGTGCCAACGACAACAACACAACCAACTAAAATTAAAGTCATCGAAAATAAGATAGCTGATAATACATACTTTAAAGGGTCATTAACAGATAAGGATTTTAGAAAACTGCCTTATTATTATCCAATGTCGACCTTCCAGAGAGTTTCATCGTATACACACACGATGAAACCGAAAAATGGAATAGATCCGGTAGCCAATGATGTCAAAGCTTGCAAGAAACTCCCATTATTACAGCCTCCTTCGACCACCAATAACTATGTCCTCCCATCATGGATAAATAAATCCTTAAAGAAATCCTATTTCGCTGTAACACCTCAAAATGTATTCGAGCCATCACTTTTGCTTCCATTTCCCTTCGCATATGTGAATAATAATAATCTAACAGCATACCCTCCTAGTTATTACTACGATAATTATAACGGATATCCATGGGCACAATTAAATATTTATAACAGAAATAGGAACTTCCATCAATCGTACTTAGGTACTGCTTACATAGCTAGGGTTCCTGGTGAATCTATGTATATCAAACCTAATGTAAATAGTGAATATGAAGCACAACGGGGAACAATTACTAGAGATGACATAATAGATATAATATCCAGTTTAAAAGATAAGGAAATGAAGAAATTACCTGATTGGCAGACTAATCCATTGCCGGAGAAAGTGATCGAAGAAGTCAAAGGGAATGCTGAAAAATCGAAGATCTTGAAACCTTTAAGAAAGAAAGTGAGGATAGAAAGGATAGGAAAACTAATAAAACTAGATGAAGGATCAAGATCTAAGAGAAGTATTGACAACGAAGATCCATTCGATAGTATTGAAGATTATGAAACTTATATTACTACAACAACGTGAGTATTAAATATTTTATTGTTTACTAACGACTTGCCCCGGATACGCACAGGTCCGTTGCTCATATGAAAATGTCATTAGACACCTCTAAAATTATCAGTATTTCTCTACTATGATGTATTATACATATAAACCTCTTGAAACACTCTATCTCTATCTATACTGCATCCAAATCAATTGCGTAGTTTTAAAGACCTAAGGGTACACAGGAACAGACAGAAGCGAATTTTTTCTATACTATATAGTGACTAGAAACCAATGCTTGGGGTTAACTGTTTCTACAATCCACGATTATGTTCCTTTACTTTTAAACATGGTTTCTTTTAAAACTTTAAAAATAATGTAACTAACAGTAATTTTTACTCTGTTTAATTACCCATTCTTATGATTAGAGAATTTGAATATTTATTTAAAACTAGCTTTCGCTCGCGATTCTGACCGCGTGGAAATAAAAAAAACAAAGGCGAGTAGCCTATGTGCTCTTCCAGGCTATGCTGTAAACCTGTGCCAAATTTCATGGAGATCCGTTCATCCGTTTAGGCTACAAACGCTAACAAACATTTATCAATCCATCGTAACTTTCGCATTTATAATATTTATATGATGATTATATGATTATTTTTTACTATATATCGTCACATACCAATGTGTTGGATCAGGCGAAGGCGTTTTTATAAGCTGACAAACTGCGCCCTGCTTGTAACACCTTTGATATAAAAAGTTGACAAATTAGTTAAAAAGAAACCAGTGTTGGAATGCATCCCTTTGTACCCGACAGATGTCGCTTCGTATCTTTAATCACTGTTTTTTGTAATCAGTTTTTGTAATTCGGAATGTATTAATCTTTTATTTTCTTCAAAAAAAAAAACCAAGACAATGTTTTTACACAACTTCATATTTATGTTAGTAATGTTATTAATCACTCAAAGTAATCTTACTAATATTATAACCTTGATTTCGTTTTCGACTCCGTCCGCGTTTATTTAAAAAAATAGTTTATAGGTTATGTGTTCTTCATGACTATCGTCTATTTCTTTTTCCAAAATTTCATCAAGATCCGTTAAGCAGTTTAGGCAGCAAAGTCTAACAAACATCCATCCATCTAAACTTTGTCATTTATATTAGTCAGATAAGATGTGAAATCTTAGATGTTTGTTAGAGTTTGTAGCCTAAACTGTTGAACGGATCTCGATGAAGGCATAGATGTAGAGAATAATCTGGAAGAAGACTACTTACTTTTTTAATTTCACACAGACTGAGTCAAAAGCGGGTCTAAGATAATTTATTATTATCTATTCTTTTACAATTGTTTTCAATATTACTAGAAGGTTATATTAAAATCTAAGTTTCAAACAAAACAGCCACAGAGTAACTTGTAACAAAACATTTTGCTCTCTGAATTTTAGTTTTCGAGTCCTCGTTGCTTCGGTAAAAAAGTTTTTAATTAGTGTTATTTTGGATACTTTTTTTACTGAGTCTCGTGATCTTTTTTCTCTAGTTAACGAATTCATCTTTATGTTTAATTTTTTTGTATAGTTTCATCTATTGAATGATTATTTTTTTTAAAGAAATAAGTTTCTTAGTCTTTGGACAACCCGAATCAGAGATTCAAAGAGTAAAAATTTATAAATACATAAATTAAATCGTAATACTATCGTGCCTACATCATGAGATATTTCCCTTTGGACCGATCTATGAACAATCAACCCAAAGGTAAAAAAGATTATTGGGTCAATAAGTTGGTGGGCCGATCGGCTCAATAGGAAACACCCAATCCCACATTAAAACGTCTTTCATTACAAAATTGGACCACAAGCCCCCCTTTAATTACGCCCTCCTCATCCATGCTCTACGCGTAGTCGAGCTTGTTATGTGTTTTTACTAACTAATTTTTTATTTCTCAGGTGTGAGCCGAGCACAGAAATAGGATTCTTCCGTAGAGGGAACATGAGTAGAATGTTCCCAGAATGTTGCCCAGAGAGAATACAAAGCTGACCACAAACATAAACGACACGGAACGCTTATTGGATATTTTGAAATTCGAATTAATGTTTTAAATTCAAATTTGGAATTGCAGAAAAAAATTGTAAAAATAATATTTAATACAATTTTCAAATTTCGAATACAGATGTAGTCAATTTAATTTGTATTTTGAATTCGAAGTAAAACGGAAATGAACATTACGGAGTTCAAATTAGTCGTAGTTTAGTCATATAGCTGTATTACGTGTACTAATAGTCGATAGAAATATAAACGATAAATTCTATTGGGTATGCCATTACGTAAGCAGGGTTGAATTTTAGTTGTACTTGATAGTGACTTGCTCATTTTGGTTTATGCTTACTTAAGTGTCGCTTAGCGTAGATTTATCTCGCTAAATCTAAATTAAGGGACCTTAAATGACTGATGAAACCATTATGTATTTAAAAAATTAAATGAGACAGAATCCTTACTTTAAACCAATCCATTTCAAAATTAAAATAAATGTTTTTCTGATGAATTTCAATCTAAAGGATTTATAATATTGTTGAATGTAAGAATTTGTAAATAATTTTATATTAAAAATTTTATAATCTTGTATTTTATTTAATTCATGTGGAATTATACACATTTAGAGAGCGTCGGTGGCTCTGTGGTTTATGCACTTGACTTGTAATCTTCAGATCTTAGGTTCGAATCCCGCTGTACCAATGTCATTTTCAATTTTTCTAATTTCCATATGTACATAACTTATCCGACGTTCTTACGGTGAAGGAAAACGTGATGCAACCTACACATCGGAGAAGAAATTCAAAGATATGTGTGAAGTCAACTCGCAGTACAGCGTGGTTGACTATGGCCTAGTCACCCTAATTTAGGTTAGGATCCGAGGGGCAGTGGGGACGTATAGTGAGCTGATGATGATGATACACATTTACTAAACTTAATTGACACTTAAGATTTATATCTGTGACAATAATACAGTTGTAAGTAAATCATTCAATATTGAACTGAAAAATTTATTATACAATATCAGTTTGTTAAAAATACATTAGTCTTGTCTACGAGATCCCAATTAAGTAAAGGACGAAGCGAGATAATGCCTAATTTAAAATTAATCACCAAAAAACTGTCTCTATAAATCAGACAGAATACGCCCCCGCGTTCAGATCGCATTGTTACCTTCAACTGTCGACCATCTCTTTCTTTTTCGAGCAGAATAAGAGGGACAGCGATACTGTAATGACGATAATGGAGTCTCACTAATCCGGTTAAAACTAGTTTGCATTCATGTTTTGTTATGGATTACGTTTAATTTATTGCTTCAAATCTTTTGAACAGCTTTTTATAGAATGAACGTATGAAAAAGTCGATAGAAATTGCTTTTATCTTACTATATTATAAAGAGCAAAGATTTGTGAATAACTCAATAACTATTTCACCATTAAAAAGCTACATTATCAGTAACAGTAACTAACATACGCTACGTTTTTTATATTTTTTTTAAATTTCACGCGGACGAAATCGCGAGCAACAGCCAGTATTCATATAAATATATATTCATAGAAATACATTGTACTGTAAATACATATAAAAAGTAATATATAATTATAAATTAATTAAAGACAGCAAAACAGTAAGTATATTAAATTTCAAAAGCAGTTTAACCTCTAACCATCTAAATAAAGACTATAAAATACTGGCTGTCATGGGGTATTGCATAAAAATAAAAAAACCTCTAACCGTTCTCACAATAAAACAATTGACTATTTTATTATTTTGTAACTTTATTAAACTACGAGCTGTTGCTCGCGACTTCGTCCGCGTGGTATTAGAAAACATACGAACTATATAAATTACAAAAAGCTACGTATCCTTCGGGAACCGGACATTTCTCGGGGATGAAGCTTATCCAATGTGTACTGCAGACTTTGTTTTATATCTGTGCCAAATTTCAATAAGATATGTTGGACCGTTGCAGAATGATCCAGTAAACATTAAAAACTAAATTAATGAATCCCACAGGAACCGTAGGTATTCCCGGGATAAAAAGTAGCCTATGTGTTCTTCCAGACTATGCTCTAAACCTGTGCCAAATTTCATGGGGATCCGTTTAGCCGTTTAGGCTACAAACGCTAACAAACATCCATTTATCCATCCATCTATCCATCAATCCATCTAAACTTTCGCATTTATAATATTAGTAAGATTAGTAAGATTATACTTTCTAAGTAAATCGTTAAAATTCTTTATTATTCTCAACAAAAGGGTTAACCCTTTCCGAATAACAACAGTCTATAAGCACCGTATAAACCTTACTTTAATGTTGCCATAACATCATCAAACTAATGTACCAATAACAATTCCCTACAAAAAATGGTTTGAAACCCTTCTAGTTAACATAAAAAAGCATCCTGTTACGAAAAGGATGGCGTTATAATAAACGACTAAAGAGTGAAAGAGACAATAATATTTAAATTAAGTGCTTATGGATGTTAGTTTTTCGGTACTTTTAAATAAAGATGCATGTGATGTTCTGAGTCCATTCGTTATTAAAGACATATTTAAAAGGGTTTTAACTGACAATATTTGTTATATTACACAGCTTCAAGCTAACTTTAACCCGCGACTTTATCTGAATTTTATGAGTAGGCCTAACTTTAGTTCCTTTTTTTTCCCACCCTCTACTAAAAGGAAGGGAAGCGAACGTGGATTTGACGGTACAGGAGGGAGAGGAGGAAATATCCTCTTTATGCGTCTCCTCTGTCGATCAAGGGTAGGCAATGCATCCGCTATTGCGAATGTCTACGGGCAGCGGTCGCTTCGCCATTTTCGGGGATTCAGGATTCACCTTATGATATAAAAAAGACTATGTATTCTTCCAGATTTTGTTCTACATCTCTGTCAAAATTTCCTCCAGATACGTTAAGCCGTTTTGTAAATATGTAGTAACAGACATCCATTAAAAAAACTAGACAAAAACTAGTGTACAAATACTATGAAAGCATTTTCCCCTTTATATTATTCCCGTTTAGTTTTGGTTTACAAAAAAAAAACACACAACTGGATAAAATTAAAAATCATAGAATAATGTTCTGTCTGCTATCCAATGGGATACGTTATTCCAGTTGTAAACCAGCGCTGGCTTCACTAGACTGGATAAATGTAAACCGGGTTTAAGGACATAATGAGACAGAACGTTAAAAATTCTCTTTATCATTTGTTTTAATTCTTTGTTTATAAAGTAAATCTCCTAATAACGTGAATTCCTAAAACGGAATAGTAAATAAAGTAGGATTAGGCGTTATGTTAGTAAAATATTTATTTTGTCCCACGATAACGCATACTTGGTAAAATGTATTAGGGTTGATGCTTTGTTACTAGGGTTGGTAATTTATTTCCCTGAACATAAAAATGGATCTTTTAAAAAATTATATCGATGGTGTTTGTATAATAATTAAGGTAATCAAAAGATATGATAGTTTTTTTCTGATTTAACTTAAAAATGTTTGTAATAATATACCATATCTATACCCAATGCTGTTATCTAAGGGAACATGGACTCGACTACATCGCGTGTATTGTATAGACAGAACTGTTAAATAAAATTATTACCTAACATAAAAAAAATATATTTCCCTTAAACAACAATAAAGTTAGCATGAAATTATTTAATTAAATTCTCATAAAAAAGAATGATTTCAATGAGTAATGTAAGCCGTTTATTCGCGGCCATTTGTCATAAAATCATAACCAAAATCCGCCATTTCAATAAACCCTAAACAACAACAAAGGGTCGATTTTTACCTGTGTACAAATACAAAAGGAAGAGAACAAAATGTTCCAAACATATTTCATTGTTTGGACTCACAATAGATTAACAAGACATAATAGCACCAATTACTGCTCCTACGGAATTTCATTAAGTCCCTATTCCTGTAATATTTTAAGAGCGGGCATCTTTGACTAAACTATCGCACTGCTGCGATTGTAGATTGTTTCGCAGCTCAACTGTTTAGTTGCACAACTAAAAATCGAGTAGTGTGCGAACCTAAGCTCACAGGAATCAACGCGACTAAACGGTTGTGCGATATTTTAGTCAACCTGTACACGGTCTAAGAAATCTGACCGTTGTAATCTTACTAATATTATAAATGCGATGTATTATAGATGGATTGTTAGAGTTTGTAGCCTAAACTGCTGAACGGATCTCGATGAAATTTGACATGTAGATAGTCTGGAAGAACACGTAGGCTACTCACTTTTGTTATTTTAAATTACATGCGAACGAAGTCGCAGACGAAAGCTAGTAATGTTATAAATGCGAATGGTTGGATGGTTAATGATTCTTAGAGTTTGAAGCCTAAACGGCTGAACGGATCTCGATAAAATTTGGCACAGATGTATATAGTTTGGAAGAACACATAGGCTACTTACTTTTTTTTAATTCGCATGCGAAAGCATTACAAACATATGTACCATCGGAGTAGTGGAGATTAAGAGGATATGCTGAAGAAGAGAGATGTAGAGGATATTTTGAAACAACATTTAGGCTACTTACTTTTGTTATTTTAAATTACATGCGAACGAAGTCGCGGGGCGAAGCTATTTTTTACTATAAAAGCAATTTACTTATCAGTAAACCAATCGTATAGGAAACCGTGTGAACAGCATGTTTGTCTATTGACAAAAAACACCATAGAAAGAAACTATTGTAACAATCCTTTATATTTTAAATATTCTAACATCGTTTACTTTGACGTCTCAAGAAGGAAATCCCCATCAGAATTCCTAAAACAAACATGACGTAGAAAAATCCTTTCGTTAAAAGTTTATGTTCACCGGAAATCGTTCTAAATGTCATACAAACAATACGATAGCTTGTATGGAAAGAGACTATTTTTAAAACAAAAACAAGAATCTTTTGCTTATTTTTTGACCGATTTCCCAAAAGAAGGAGGTATTCAATTCGTCGATATGTTTTTTTTTTATGTGTGTTACGGCATAACTCCGCCGCTAGTGAACCGATTTGGATAATTCTTTTCAATCAATCTGTTGCTTAAATTTTAAAAGTAAAAATATTTCTTAACA